AAAACAAAAACAAAACACAACCAAAACAACAACAACAACAAAAAACAACAACAACAAAACAACAACAACAGCAAAAACAACAAATTTTACAACACAAAAGTCACCCATAATCATAAGATACCACTCTGGAGTCTGAAGTTCTCGCATTTCAGACCGTACTTTAATGACCAAAAAAACGCTCATGGATACCATCACATTCCTGCTCTAAATTTCTCGATGAGAAGTACACGTACAATGATTGTCCCAAGCGCAATCACACCCAGGTGTGAACTCTTCGATGCCTTTGATTTCCCCGAACATCGAACTTCGCCAAGGCGTGATTCGGTAGACGAGAGCCAACAATTATTAAGACGCGTCAAATGGGATCCTAGGCCTTCTCGGGAACTGAGAAAGGCTAGATGGGATCACATCAAGGAGATTAAAAGTTCTAAACTCCTTGGATCACATCGAACTGTGATTTAGGCCTAAATGGTGCTTTTGTTTCCCTGACCAACTATCAGGTGTGCATCCGAATTTGCTAGACAGACTTCTGTACTCTGGGACTGTCTGATCACCTTGGTGTAGGCCTAAGGTAGAGCGAACCTTTCATTCTTCCAATTATAATTGGTGCGTTCACAACACAATGGTGAGTGCAACTTGAATACGAACAGTGATTTCGGTCAGAGATGAAAGAAAGCAATATGATACTTGACGGGTAAAGCGGGAGGATCAGCAATGAGTGAGAGACGCTTTATTAATAATTAGAACTATTTATTTATAGGCTGAGGAACCCAACGATACGAGCTAACAAAGACTACTGGTGCATTTTATATTTTTCCGCGTCAAATACAGTATGTTTTCGTTTGTTTTTGGTAAGTGTTTTACGGCGCTCGCATTAACTCATTGGCCTAATTAATTAGGTTTTATGAGCGCACGGGATACATCAAGCACTTTCAGTCGGTAGGAAATTTTGAATTTTGCCCCGGGGGCGGGTGAAACTTCCTACTCTTATGGATTGTGGACCTCCAAAGAATCTTTAGCGTGCGCAACTTGAACACGGGACCTCTTTGAGGTTATGGGAGTGTGTGTGTGTGTGTGTG